TCTAAGCCCATGTGGCTGTTGGCAGAGCTCAATTACCTGCACTTGCAGAACTGAGGCCCCAATAGGTATTATCTGACAGGAGAGGCTGCTCTCAGTGTGCAGAGCTCCCTGCAGGTCCTCTTACAGGTCCTGTCACAACAGGCAGCTCATTTCTCCAGGACCAGATGGTGAATCCCTTGCTCCAGTCTGCTAATACAAAGTCTAACATAACGTAAGGGGATCATACAAGTGACCGTCCCGCCTTTGACATCTTCTATTGTCTCAAATCAAGACAAAGGTACTTCCCACACTCCAGACAGGATTCTACATGATACAACTCATTGGAGACAGGATCCCCATTGGGGACAGCATGTATATCCCAGATATCTTCTGATATAAACTGGCCAGCTACTCACTGGGCACTTCAAGTTTAAGTATAGGTTGAGAAGCAATGAAAAACAGTGATGATGGCTTTGGGAAGGAGGGAGACAACCATTTTAGGAGAGACAATAGATTCTTCAGACAATGGGAAGACTAACCTCCTCAGGGGTGGAAGGGCGGCTTCCACTGGCAACAGCAGCCCAGTCCAATGTTGGTTTAATGTACGCGGCATCACTGGGATCTTCCCTAGGCCCTCATCTCAATTTTGAGGCTCCTACACTCTCTTTCCCAATCACTGTTTTATCTTTAGCACAAGAAACATTACTAGGTTGTGAATTCAAGTCGCTTGGTAAATCAGCCCACCATCTGATTAGAACTTATCAGAAATCTGTGTGGTCACAGGAGCAAAGAGCTACTTTCTTTACAGTCACAGAGGATTTCCAGTTCTCCAAAGCCTTCAACTCACTGTTTTCTTTCACCCAGTCCTTACTTCCTAGCCTTCATTAAACTGTATTACTTCACCTGCTGCTTGACCCACTAAGACCCAAGTCTATGTCTTTTATTCCTTTCTTCTATTAATGAGAACAAAACCTGAATCTATCAGCCTTCCACTCCTTTGTACCACTGGGGCCCTTGTGACATGATTCCGTTCAGTGTAATTTAGAAGTCTTGTACTGGGTTTTCATTTTCATCTTCTAAATGGAAGGTAAACTCAAGACCTAGAAGCACAACCACCACGAGCAACTGTGAGGACAAAAGCTGCACTAAGGAGGGGGACCAAAAAAAGGACAAGTGGCATGGGGGGATGACGGCACCATGCCGCCACTGCAACAGCTCTAAGCTGACCTCGCTGGACTTCAGAGAGAAAAGAAACCATAAAATCAGGACTCTGTAACTTGCGGCAGAACCCAGTCAAAACTGGCACACATCTTCACACTTAGCAGCGGTGTAACCTGGGGAAGTTACAGAATTACTGTGACTCATTTTCTCATACATAAAACGAGAAGAATAATGGTAAGTCACAGAGTTGAGAATATTAAATATGAAAATACACATGAAGGATTTCAAACAAAACCTTTCACATAGTAAGGAGTCGGTAAATGACAATTATCAGCAACAGCAGCAGCACTCCTCTACGAGGAAAGCACTCACCCATACTCAACATAATCAAAATGTGGGAAACTATTCCATATATTAAAATAACAATTTAAAAAATGATGCCAGAGAGGGTGTAGTGAAGTGTGCACTCGGATATATTACCGGTAGGAGTACAAATTGGTACCTTTTTTTAGGAAGGAGATTGGCAAATGGTCCAGATGATTAGAAGTACCCAAATCTGGTATTCTTCTGGCTACTTAGCATAGAGAAGACTTCAAAATACCACAGAGTATTAAGAAAGAAAAAGTTAGCTGTCATGCTATGTGTAACAGTGAAACTTTGGAAAGCAGTACGAACATCCACAAATTAGAAATACACAGCCGTATTAATTTTGCTTTATTAATTAAAGTGTACCAAGTATTATAGTAATTAAAATGATGTTAATGAATTGAATAAAATAGCATGGAAATCACACCTAATATTAAGGAAAATACTGGTATCTGTAGCATGAATAAAACACTCATAACACCTGGAAATGTTAGCATTGCTGTTATCTGGGTTCTGATATTACAGGCCACATTCCCTGCTACTGTAGTGAATACTCTCTCGGTTAGGATCCTTGTACTTGTGAGTTAAACAGAAAATCTAGCTTGCTTTGGCACAAGGCATGTTCTCATCTCACACAACTGGGCAAGCCCAGGGCAGGCCGGGTCTCAGACCCAACCTGGGCTGTGGTTCAACGCCACCATCAAGGCCCTGGTTCCTTGGACATCTCCACTCCATGCCCTCAGGTTGGTCCATGGTTTCAACACAGCACTGCCAGAAAGAAGCCACCGGCTGACAGTTAAGAAAGGACTCTCTGCAGTTGGTGCTTTGCTGGGAAGAAGGGCAGAAGCAAAATCATGCTGGAGAGGTGAGCAATAACGTCTTCTGCCAATTTTGACTATTTTAATTTTTCCAAGTATGTTTATCGCTTCCAAGTTTTTGAAAAGTAATTTGTTTGTTTCTTTGTAGGAAATTTGAGAAACAGAGGATACCAAAAAAACTTCCCACGTGATCCTACTACATAAAACAACTGTTGTTAACATTTTGGTTCATTTGATTGAAAACTCTAAAAAATAGTACAGAACATTCTATCCTATGGAAATAGCACAATTTATCCAATCACTTCACTCCTGTAGGTCATCAATGTTAATTCCATTTGCATTATTATATAGAATGTGGATGTTAATACCATCAGGCATAATATTACACCTGATTTCTGATTTACTTTCTGATAGTTTCCCTATAAGTGACATTCCTAGATCAACCTTGTTAGGGCTCTTTTTACATATTACCAAATGAATACACATTTACACGTTTATAGTAAGAAAAAAATCTGATTAATAAAATATAATATGGGAATCATATTTGCCTTAGCTTCACAGGTTAATGTAAACATCACATTATTTTACTGTTAAAAATTGGTTTGTTAAAATGAAGGCATTATATAAATGTTAAGATATTATTCTGATGCAAACAAAAACAACAAACACTTGAAACTGCCTTATGACAATAATGTCTCTCAGGGATTAGTCTGTAATTTTTACCTAACACACTGTCATCACTTAAAACAATTTCCAACAGTCTACATTATATGTTAGCAAACGCAGTGGTTACCTTCATTACTGAAGTATATATTTATACTCACAGGACCCTTCCATGCCTCACTCCCACAACTCCCCTATGGTTGGTTTTCTCCTATCCCAGATCACCCTCTCTTCTTGACTGGATTCCGATCTCAGTAACCTGCACCACCATTTTAATTCTGCTTTGCTTCCCCAGGCTGACTAGCTGTTGAGCTGATACTGTTCATCCCCAGGAAAATGTTTTCTAAGTCAAATTCCTCAGCATTTTTAAATACTAGGAAAAGAGTTAACCCAAACTCAGGCAATACTAAAGAACATACATTTCAGTTCATCTTATTACACAATCTGAAATCTGAAGAGCTCTAGCAGCTACACTGCTTTTCCAGATGACGACTTAGGAGGCCTTTTACTAGTTACAAAAGACACGTACTGAAGAACCATAGCCCCCAAACAGTATCATGGCAAAAACGTGACTTAATAGAGCAAAGAAGGCTTTTTAAAGAAAAGACCTCTAAAAATCTTGTGAAAACAATTATGTGATGATTATGAAAGTTACAAGGAATTTTTTTTAAAAAGATCACCATGGCTAACAAAGAAATGTCATTTCACTTCCCTTTGTACTTGTGAGAATTCCAGGGTAATATCTGCCCACAGCATGACCAAACGAGAGACTAACTTATCTACTGGTCAATTTAAAAAAGTCAAATAGACCCTAGATATAAGTAAACTTTCTTCCTGTCAATGCAAAATTGTGCCTAGACCCCACCTGTGTATATTTGCCATTTACAAATGCTTATGTCTTAAGAAAGGAAATATGAAGGGAAAAAACAGGGAATGTCCAAGAGACTAGAAAGTGTTACAAATGAAACAAAAAATTGAGAAACTACTAATTTTCTAAGTTGCTCAGGTATTTTTCTGATACTTAAACCCTTACATTTTGGGTAATTTTTCATATTCAAATACAGTACCCCAGTGTGAGAGAGGGGTACGCTGGTGGCAGCAGAAGCATCTGTAACATAACACTTTAATGATAAAGGAAATGCAATAAAAGATGTGATAACTGTTTGATACTTTTCCCTAGAGGTGTCGTCAGGGCAAGAGATTGCCTAATTTCTCTCTCTCCACAGTGTCAAAGTTCAAAGGTTAATTTAGGCACATAAAATGGTTACTCCATTCCAAAATGTCAGAAAGGTAATTTAAAGGTCTCTAAACCAAAAAGGTGAAGGTCACATTGAACTACAATAAAAACCCACTGAGCTATTGGGACCTGGCCTTACACTGTAGTGGCTAAAAGTCTCCAATGATAAGATGCACCGGCTTTGTAAGACGTGACCTTGAACTACGAAAGGTCAAACTAGAAGAAATAAAATTAAAAAATTAAATCAAAGGTAGGAAGCAAGCTGAAATTAAAATGATTATAAAAGAACATGGTGACCTGAGATTAGTTAACATACTGTAAAGAGAATGGGCTGTTTTAAAATAATCCTGAAGGGCGCCTGGGTGGCTCAGTGGGTTAAGCCACTGCCTTCAGCTCAGGTCATAATCCCAGGGTCCCGGGATCGAGTCCCGCATCGGGCTCTCTGCTCAGCAGGGAGCCTGCTTCCCTTCCTCTCTCTGCCTGCCTCTCTGCCTACTTGCGATCTCTGTCAAATAAATAAATAAAATCTTTAAAAAATAAATAAATAAATAAATAAATAATCCTGAAAAGTCTTTTGGGATTAACACCAATAGAGTGTATTTGAAACCCTTTTTAAAAATCAGTGATCCAAGAAATATTCTGAAATCATATGCAGTTCTGGCATTAATGGATAAAGATTAGTGGATGCTCCATTCGTGAAGTATTTGGACATACAACGTACAATGTTTCAATTAAAATGATGACACCATATTTTGTAAAATCTAATATATTTAATTTTGGCATAATAGTGATTTATTATGTATTAATATTTCAAAAATAGACTTTTGTGTTTAACAAACTACTAGAGATCTCAAACTCGTGACCTATAAGCATGCTTTTGCTCCAAACGCCAGGCTGCTGTTGCACTGAAGGCAGTGGATTCCATCGCGGGGGTTGTAAGACCCGGGACTGCAGATCACTGTGAAGAAAGAATAGTTAATAGGCACCAGTTCCTTCAAATGCCACATCAATTCATTTTACATGGAGAATACATTTTCAAAAAAGACTCTTTTTTCTTTTATAATTTTTGTTTTTAATCATGGTAAAATACACATAAAATTTACCATCTTAACCATTGTTAAGTGCGCAGTTCAACAGTGTGAAGTATATTCATGTTGTTGTACAACTAACTTCCAGAACTTTCTCATCTGGGAAAAACTGCAAGTCTATATTCATTAAACACCTCTCTATTTCCTCTTCCTCTAATGCCTAGCAGCAATCCTTCTAGTGTCTATTTCTAAATACCTCATATAAGTGACAAGTTGTAACTTTTCACTCTGACCCTGACTTAGACCAAGACTGCGACCCCACATGGTTTTACTGATCACACAAGGTTGAGCTGAGAAAGCTAGCTAAGTCACCTGGTAGGCTGCATCAGAAGCCACAGAGCAGAAGAGGGCCCACACTAACAACCACGCCTTCAATGCACAGATACCCCTAAATATGGGAAGGACTTCCAGCTTATTTCTTTTTTTAAAGATTTTTATTTATTTATTTGACAGACAGAGATCACAAGTAGTCAGAGAGGCAGGCAGAGAGAGAGAGGAGGAAGCAGGCTCCCCGCGGAGCAGACAGCCTGATGCGGGGCTCGATCCCAGTACGCCAGGATCATGACCTGAGCCGAAGGCAGAGGCTTTAACCCACTGAGCCACCCAGGCAGCCCCCAGCTTATTTCTAATAATCTCCTGACTTCATGTCTTATTTGTGTCACTTGCTGAAAGAGTAACTTTGGAAAAATTACTAACTTAACTCAGTCTGATCATCCTTAACATATGGATAACTGTATATAAGGAATACGTTACCACAGTGATCTCTGCCTGTCAGAAAGTAAAGAAGGGCAGAAAGAATCTAATGGCAAATACATTCTCATTGACTTACTCTGGATTCTGGGTAAGTGGTCAATTCTTAGTTCTAGCTTCCTCATTTGTAAAACAGGTCCAGTAACAATGAAGACTACACTATTATGAGAGGACTAAAATCAGATGACTTATATGAAAATGCAACCAGAACACCGCCATGCCCCAATAAATGCTCTGCTGTCTGTGGGACCGCTTCTCCCCATGCTGGAGGCCACGTGATGCCCACCTATCTAACTGGGCTGGGGTCTCTGATTACCCTGTTCCTCCTTTTCCTATTGCAAATGTAGTCAGCCAAGGATTCACAGGGATGTCAGTTGCACATCTAAGGCATGGCTATTATGGGCCATCAGAGAAGATTCTTTTTCTGGCACCATGATCAATGACAAGTGCCATTGTTTGGATCTGGGTCATGGTACATTATTTCATTTCATATCACTCGTTCAAAAAATAATCTTTCAAATTGGGAAATAGTTTAACCATTACTCAGAGAAAGTATTTTTCATTCTGGTTTTAGTAGATATTTTGTTTGGGGAATCATGTTTCAGTATCATGTTAATACTGGTTAAACAAAGTTAAGTCAATTTTTTGCTGCAGTAATAACAGTATTTAAAGTGGCAATGCACAGGGTAAGAGTGTCATGATGTGACATTTTTCAAAGGTGTGTGTTCATGGTACTCTTTCTTTCAAAACACATATTAGTACTTCTTAAAGTACAAATATGAATGCTGAGAAAAGGTATGTGTTAAGTCAACACACAGGGAGAAGAGAAACGTAAATGTGCAGGCGGTCTTTACACACACAGAGTATCACCAGTGGAGCTGACGCTGCCAAGAAATCATCCAAACCCAACTTTAAATAAATACGATCTAATAAATGTTCTCAGAATTAATAAATCTCTATAACACAGTATGTACAATACTTCAGAGTCCTTATCCATGGCACTCTCTCCTAAGACGTATTCTAAAATATCATGTTCTCCTTTATGTGGAATTGAGGAAAAATTCTCAAAAGTTATTTAACTTTAAAGTAGATTAGCTGGAGCGCCTGGGTGTCTCAGTGGGTTGAGCCTCTGCTTTCAGTTCAGGTCATGATCTCAAGGTCCTGGGATGGAGTCCCACATTGGGCTCTCTGCTCGGCAGGGAGCATGCCTCCCCCCACCCCTCTCTGTGCCTGACTCTCTGCCTGTGGACCTTGTGATCTCTGTCAAATAAATAAATAAAATATTTTTAAAAAATAAAGTAGAAGATTAGCAAAATTATCTTCTAGGTTTTGGTCTCACTGAGCAGAATATTTCCCAGCTGCAGTTTTGAGAACAACCTGATTAAATCTTGATAAGAGAGGGAAGCACTGATGACTGATCACTACTGACATACAAAGAAATGAGAAGAAGGCAGAGGAAAAAATCTTCATGAATTTTGGATAGGGAATATTTCCTTAAAAAGGGAAATAACCAAGCATAATATAAAACATGGGGTACATGTGGTATTATAATTAAGAACTTAATTAAAAAATGATGAAATTAACAATAGTCAAGCAACAAAACTGGGACACAGTTGCAGCTAAATAACCAATGGAATACCATCGAGAAGATACAAAGAATTCATATTAGTCATGAGAAAAGGACAGAAAACCAATTAAAAATAGGAATAAAAGAGAAAAAATAGATGTCCGACTAATGTCATTTTTACTGAGCCACAAAAAACCCGAAACCATCCAAAGAAATTAAGAATTTGGGAATGCAAATCAACAGCAAACTGTAATATACTGAGGGCAACTTCAGCAAGAGGACAGCTCTAGGTCCCCCAGCTCCCATAGAAATATTAAATAAACAACTAGAGACTGGCTAAAATAACCTTCTAGGTCTGGAAATTGGTCAAAGATCAACAGCAACCAAATGAACATGCAATTGAGAAGTCACGTTCCAAATGGTCCAAAATTTGTGGCATTTTTTTGCTCACCCTTATCCCAGCTCCTTTCCAGGCAGACCTACAGGAGAGGCAGCCCAGTGCTGGGTTCCATCCCAAAGCAAAACAGATGGGATCGGCCACTTGTCCAACGGCCAACTGAGGGGTTCAGTCTCCATGTTGCTTACTTCAGAGCTCGTTCAAATCTCAGACTATGGGAAGCTCTGGGCACATTCTTGAGAACCACAAGGTGATGACAGCCCCCAGATACCTGGGGTTAGAGACTGATATATTAAGGAATAGGATAGAACACCTAAGGATCACAGGAGAAGCAGTATGTGGACTCTCAGGGAAATGAAGATATTAAAAAAGAGACCCCACCCCCCAAAAAAGCAGCCAAGTATACAGAGGAATCAGAAGAGAGCACATAGGACCAAACATTTGAGAAGGTGCTCAACATCATTATTAGGGAAGTACCAATCAAAACTGGAGTATGATATCACTTCACACCCATTAGAATGGACACCATCAAAAAAGAACAGAACAGAACAGAACAAGTGTTGGCAATGATGTGAAGAAACTGGAGCCCTTGGGCACAGTTGGTGGGAATGCACAATGGTGTAACTGCTATAGGAAAAATATGGAGGTTCCTCAAAATATTAAAAATGCATGTACCAGATGATCCAGCAGTCCCACTTCTGGATATAGAGCCAAGAGAACTGAAAGCAGGATCCTAAAGGGACATCTCTAGACCTCTGTTCACTGCAGCATTGCTTACCACAGCCAAGAGATGAAAAGAACCCAAGGGTCCCTCAGTGGGCAAATGGACAAAGAAAATGTGGTATATATACACAACAGAATATCCTTCAGCCTTAAAACAATAAATCCTGCAACATTCTGCAATATGACAAAACTTGAGAATATTATGCAAAGTGAACTGAGGCCAGTTACAAAGACAAATAGTACATGATTTTGCTTACAAGAACTATTCAAACAAATCAAACTCAGAGAAACAGAAAGAGCTGTGGTTTCTAGTAGCTGAAGGAAGAAGAAATGGAAGTTGTTGTTCAAGAGGTGTGCAGTTTTGGCTTATGAAAAGTTCTAGATATCTGCTGCACAACAATGGAAAGTTAGGGCTACTAAACTGTATACTTAAAAATGGCCAAGGCACTTGGTTTTGTTATATGTTTTTTAACCACTATTAAAAGTTTTTTAAAAATACAACTCAGAAGAGAACAAAAACCTTCCAACAAATAAGAGGCCAAGTCCACGTCTTCACAGATGAATTCTACCATAAATTAGAAAGAAAGAAAGAAAGAAAGAAAGAAAAAGAGAAAGAAAGACATTAACCCCAATCCTTCTTAAAACTCTTCCAATAAATTAAGAGGAAGGAAAACTTCTGGACTCATTCTATAAGGGCAGAATTGCCCTATTACTAAAGTCAAAGACTGTACATGAAAAACAAACTATGGACTAATAACTCTTCTGAATATTGATGGAAAAATCCTCAACAAAATACTAAACCAACTCAGCAGCATATTAAAAGGATTATATACCATGGTCACTTTAGATTTATTTCTAAAACACAAGGACAGTTTAATATATGAAACCTAAGAAGAACTCCTTATATCATATGAACTGAATGATAGGGGGAAAATAACATACAATAATCTCAACTGATGCACAAAAGCATTTGACAAAATTCAACATCATGTTATGGTAAAAACTCTAAGCAAACTTCAATTTTATAATGGGGTGTTATCAACCACAGTTACTATGTTAGATCCTGAGACTTTATCCATCTTATAGCTGAAAGTAGAACTTAAATGTTCTCACCAAAGGTAAACAGAAGATAAGTATGTGAGATGATGGGGGTGTTAATGAACTAGATAGGAGAAATCCTCCCACCATGCATATATATATCAGGTCATCACAATGTACACTTCGAGTATCTTATAATTTGGTCCATTATATCTCAATAGGTATGAAAGATACCACAGGAACTAAGTAAAGGAGCACAAGGCAAAGCAGCCAAATAAAAAGGAGTTTTGTAGGGACGCCTGGGTGGCTCAGTCGGCTAAGCCACTGCCTTCGGCTCGGGTCATGGTCCCAGGGTCCTGGGATAGAGTCCCGCATCAGACTCCTTGCTTGGCAGG